TTAAAAAGCAGAGACATCACCTTGCCAACAAAAGTATGCATAGTCAAAGCTATGGTTTTTCCTGTAGTGATGTATGGAAGTGAGAGCTGGACCATAAAGAAAGCTGATCGCTGGAGAATTGATGCTTTTGAATTGTGGTGATGGAGGAGGCTCTTGAGAGTCCCCTGGACTGCATGGAGAACAAATCTATCCATTCTAAAGTAAATCAGCCCTAAGTGTTCACTGGAAGGACAGATCCTGAAGCTGAGGCTCCAATACTTTGGCCATCTCATGAGAAGAGAACACTGGAATAGACCCTGATGTTAGGAAAGTGTGAAGGAAAGAGGAGAAGGGGACAACAGAGGATAAAATGTTTGGACAGTGTCACTGACACTACCAACATGAATTTGTCCCAACTCCTGGAGGCAGTGGAAGACAGGAGGGCCTGGCGTGCTCTGGTCCATGGGGTCATGAAGAGTCGGACATGACTAAACGACTAAACAACAAGAAATGCGAGGCAAGTTTCCCTCCACTTCTGTGTAGGCTGCATGAAATCCATGCAATCCAAACATTCATCTTTGCATGTGCACTTGGATAGGGCAAAGCAAACTATGAAATTCATTTAATAATACATTTAATAAATGTAGTAACATATGGAATGTAAAATAGCCATTGTATATATCCTCTTTTGACATGCACTAATACAAATATTTGCCCAGGAAGGGTTGCATTTTAGCTTGCACTTTTCCCCCCTTGTCAATGGGAAATGTTTAATTTCCAACATGTTAGCAATACAGAGGCAGCACTGGCAACAGGGCAGTGCCTTCTACTACTTAAGGACGGAAGGTATTTCATAGATTCAGGTTGGCCATGGGCCACAAGCAGCTCTGCTGATAATAGAGAAGAATGACGGTGATGAAAAGCATCAGCTACCAGAAATAGTTGCCCCAGTCCACTTAATAGGAGGGCCTGCGGGTAGGGATGAGTAGGGTAGTAATGGCAAGAATAATAATTCCTTCTTTTTATTGATCATTTTAGAGTGCAGGACACATAACAATGGGCTCAAGTTACAGGAAACCAGATTTATGTTGAATATCAGGAAAAACAAATTATGTGCAGAATACATCATGCAAAAGGCCAGACTGGAGGAATCCCAAGCCAGAATTAAGATTGCCGGAACAAGTATCAACAACCTCTGATATGCTGATGATACCACTCTGAGGGCAGAAATTGAGGAGGAATTAAAGAACCTCTTAATGAGGGTGAAAGAGGAGAGTGCAAAAACAGTCTGAAGCTCAACATCAAAAAAACTAAGATCATGGCCACTGGTCCCATCCCCTCCTGGCAAATAGAAGGGGAAGAGCAGTACAACAATGGAACCAATTACCTCAGGAGGTGATGAGTGCTCCAATGTTGGAGGAAATCAAGAGAAAATTGTCAGATCTGCTTTGGTTTGGATGTTTGCATTGAGCAGGGGGTTGGACTCAATTCATTTTTCTGATTCCTTCTATAGGACACATGGGGGAATTCATGAGGAGTGAGGGTATGTAAGTGAGATGGGGAAACAAGAAATGGAATAGCAGTTCTGGTGTTCACCAATTTGTCAGCAGGCCAGGAGAAGGGAGAAAAGTAAGACCACTGAGATCAGTACCCCCAGTTTCACTTATCCACAGCCACATCCTCTGTGAATGCTAAAATTTAGTTACAAAAGATATGTAGCAGCAGCAGTACAAAGAATGACTACACATCTTTTCCACATGCCTTTGCCTTTCTCTTGCTTTTATTGTATCACAACAAAATGCCAATCACTGGAAGAAAGCTTTTGATTCAGCGGTGCAGTTTCCAGATAAACATGGGCCCTGGCACATCAGATAAAGACCCCTTGGAGATGTGACAGCAGGAGTAGCAGCAGCATAGTGGACCAGGCGAGCAAAAACATGGTTCTTCCTCTTATTGATATGCACAAGGTTCTATCTCTTCATACAATATTTCACTGGCTCTGAATTATACAAAAGCTCTACACTTGCACAAATTCTGTTCCCCCCACTGCATAAAGTAAGCTTCATCCTTACATCTGGTCCTAAATTACAGGGTGCTTGTTGCTGTCCAACAGGAAGGCTTCCATACTAATGTTCCTCTCCAAATTTGCTCAATCACTCATCATGATTCTCAGTCTGGAGCAATAGCATCATCTAGTGTTTAGAGTATTTCCTACACAAATTGCATGGTACACCTTGAAGCAACATTTGCTACAAGAGGATGCTACTGTGTTTCCCCGAAATAAGACAGGGTTTTATATTAATCTCTGCTCCAAAAAAACACGAGTGCTTATTTTCAGGGGATAGTTTATTATTTTCATGTACAGCAATCTACATTTATTCAAACCCAGTCATGTCATCTTCTTCTGGCTGCTGCACAATGGTGGAGGGCAGGGTTTCACTTAACTGGGGCTTATTTTGGGGGTAGGGCTTATATTACGAGCATCCTGAAAAATCATACTAGGGCATATTTTCAGGTTAGGTCTTATTTTCAGGAAAACAGGGTAGTCAGATTAGGCTGGGATGTAAAATAATCAGGTTGTTTCTAACTCCCTGACCAAGGAGAGGAGAGATTTATATTCTGTTTGGTTGTGCCCTAACCACTGTGGTTGCTCAGTCAGCTAAAATCTCCCAAATAAATTCCATTGCTTGTTATGTGCTGCTCTTGACAGCCGCTTTCTCCCAGTTATTTTGTTAACAGAATTCTGTCAAGGCTTAAAAATCAAATAAATAAACTTGATTAACATCCAACAGGAAAAGTACAACGGTGCAATTAACCCTCTGCCCAAAGTCTAACAAAGACCATGCTGGATGTTTTAGGTTAAGGGCAGCAGTACAATTGGGAGCTTGCTGTCTGTTCCCCAAATGAAATATTGTTTCACTTTGCTGATTACATTTTAAGCAAAATGCTGCTAGATCTTCCATTGTAACGATTTGAGTTGGTGTTAGCTAATGCACTAATAACTGAGTTTGAAGGCCATTTGGCAGAAGACGTTGTGATTTAGTAAATGGATCCTGGATAATACAGTAACTACTTTTAAAAAGCCAGAATAGCCCCTGCTGTTGGTCTCTAATATTTCAAGTGAATTAGCTTTGTGGAGTAACAGATGATGGCAGGCATGTATCTGGATTTAAGAGGTAGGGGATATTGTGTAAACATACTTCTCCCACAAATCTATATGGTATTGACAGCTCTTTCCTTCCGCTCCTGCATTATTGGTTGTGGAATGGCCTTGCCAGCTGGAGTGTTTGGCCCCTGTGTTTGACAGGGGAGCAGCAAGCTGCCATTTTGTAACAAAGCCATTACCAAATTCCATAGCTTCTTCAACAAACAAAACAGAAAAATAACAAGCTTATAGTATTTTAAAATATTAACCACTGTATTATGGCAGGAACTCTTTGGACTATAGCTCAATGTATCAAATTAATTAAGTTTCCAAAGTAGCAGAGGGCTTTGATGCTTCCTCCCCCCACAAATACAGGTAAACATGTAGCAAAAGAGAAACGCAAAGTACTGTAGTACAAAATATGGACATTAGAAAAATAGTTTCTTTAACTTTTATTATTTGACTGTAAGCCATAACAGTCTGTGGCGTTCAGTTGTATTACCAAAATACCAGAGGAAAATGGAAACAACGTTGTAAAAGGGAGCTGGTCCTTCATGGCGGGGACACACATGCTTTCCTATAAAACGGAATTATACTGGTAAAGAAAAGGTAAATTAAAGAAAATAAGCTGCAGAAATAGATGAGGATTTCGTTATTTACGGCGTGAAACCGAAAGGGCAAATTGCAAAACTCTGAAAAAACGGCTATGCTAATTTCCCAGAGAACCCCAGTCTACTTGCGTAATGCAAAGTACATTTCCTACGGATTTACTTCGATCATGAAGTAAATACAGGTACAAGTATAAATGTCCATACTGTACTTAAAAAAAAAAACCTCTAAATTAATCCGACATAGGTTACAGTATTAACTTAGAGGGGGTTACAAACAATGGCATGGCCCGTCGCATCCTCCAGAAGCCCATGACGCCGACACTTCGGTTCCAGCAAACATCATTGAAACACATTTCTTCGAAACCCACCCACGCCTTCTGCTTTTCCGCCTCGGCTTCTATCATCCCCCTCCATCAAAGCGCTGAAATCTACAGAAACTACTCTTCCCAGAAAGCCTTGCCACAGCGTGAGTTGCGCTGAATCTCCGGGCATGCGCTCTCTCGTTGCCAGTCGGCCAGGAAAGAGGCCGCTTTGACCTACAGAAGGAGAAGATGGCGGCGTCCGTGCGTTTGGCTCAGAAGGTGAGGAAAAAAGTGGCCGGCGCCGTTCCTGTATGCGGGGTTTTTGTTTGTTTTGCTTTTCTTTCTGAGGCTGGGGAGACTGTCAGTGTTTCTGTGCAAGGGAGAGGAGGAGAAAACCCCCGCGAGGGTTTGGAGAGCTGGCATTTGAATGGCCCTGCACCCGGAATTGCCACTGATACTGAAAGTTAGGGAGGAATCTCAGCACCAGCGAGTCTCTCGTTATTGCTGGCAGCGACGTTGCGGTTCCTTCCTGCTGTTGGAAAAAGGGAATCTGTTTTATCCCAAGTCACACCATTGCCGGTTTGATTCCGTGTCAGTTGCGCTGTCCTAAGGCTTTCCGGCCATCTCGGGAAAAATGAGGGGTTGAGCCGGGACCTTTTGTTTGCTAAGAAGGTGGTCGGCCACCGAGCTAGTTTGCATGGCACCCCTTCATTTGCCTTACTCCAGATCTTGTTTCTATGAGCTGTGGGAAGGATCTAATGGAAGACTCGAGAACCTTCTTTCCTACAAAATATGCAAATAACAGGAAAAATTCTGGTGCTTCTAAAATAAGCAAATCTATTAAATAGGGTTGAGAATGGAGCTGGATGGAATATATACCAATAGGTATACGCACACAGGTTTTATCTCCATTGGTGTTTGGCATGCTAGTGTTTGTGCAGAGCAGACTAAATGTATGTTGCATTGTCAACAATCTTCTCATCAGTTGGAATAAATCAGGCCACCTTGCTCACTAGCAGAAGGTAATGTCACTTGGAGGCAATTGCTTTTTCTTTCCTAGTGGCTGGTTCTGGAGTACTTCTCAGTGGCACTTAATCTGTAGCTGATGGTGCCCCAGCTGACATAACCCTGTTACCAAGGTCAACTGTCTAGAATCTAGATAGAAACTAACTGCCATCCAAAACTCATCTAGATTCCAGTGCTGTATTTGACACATATTGTACCTACTGTGATCAAAAATATTTTTGTAAAGCTGCTTTGTTTAGAAGGCTGGCCTGCCTGGTTTCAAAGTCCTTTCATAATTAGTACAAAATAGAAAACTATTTAAAATAATAATTAAACAAATGAGTTTCACACGTTGACCTCCCCTACACACATATAACATCCAGATCATCTTTTGTTACATAAGAGCAGTCTGTTTAATCATTTCCGAAAGGTGCACAGATTTTATATTTTAAGGGAGAATGCCAGAACTCTTGGGCAACCACCAAAGCCTCATCTTTCTGTGTAATGTTGTGTTTTGATGTTCTTGTAGTACAATGAGTAAATTCACTATCAATATAGGTATCTTAGGATGCAAATTAGTTCTCTTAGGCAGCAAATCCCTGTCATACACTGAAACTACGTGTACTTGGCTCAGTAAGGCTTACCGTAATTTCTGTGTGTAAAATGACACTTTTTCCTTAAATAATTAGACAAAAAATTAAGGGTCGTTTTATACATGGAAGGCAGCCACTGTTCCCTGTCTTTTGCGAAAACATGGGGCTTAGCAAAAAGGAAGGTAAGGTTCCCTTTGGGTAAAACAGCCATGAAAGGGCTGCACGATCGTAGTCCTTTGATCCTGAAGCCCTTTCATGGCTGCTTTATCCACTTCAATGCATTTCTATGGGAAACTGTGTTTCGCTTAGCGATGTTTTCCCATAGCGATGATTTTTTTGGAACCAATTAAAATTGTTAAGCGAGACACCACTGTACTTCTGACTAGCCATGTATAGATTATGCTGCTATGTGAGCTTCCAGAGGTCCAAAAGTCATAATTGGAATTTTAAATTCTGCTTAGAAAACAGTAGGAGGCAGGGTACTTTAAAAAAAAAAACCCCTTTTATTTATTTATTTTTAACTACAACGTAAAATACATAAACAGTAGGAGGCAAGGAGACATTGTTCTTGGAAGCCCTGTTCAGTCAGAAGCAGGCCCGTTGTCTCTGCACCAGCCAGAAATTCTGAATTTTTAGTCGCCATGTTTCTTCTCATGGTAGACAGCGTTTTGTATAAGCTGATTTCAGTGCATGTATAAAAAGGGCTAGCTAATGACCAGACATCTGACCTAAGCCACCACAATTTACTTCTCACTGCATATAATCAAAGTTTAAAAGGTAACTAATTAGTGCCAAAGATTACTTGATAATAAGTAAAACTATCATTATTAGCTCTAATTCCATTTTGTTGTACAGGTATGTGTGCCTTTTTGTAAATTGCATAAAATATATTGACTGAGTTTATTACAGGACAGCCTGAGCCTTACATCTAATTCGTAATATATTTCTTCAGAAGTAGATCCTAGAAGCCACAACGTACCTGCTGCTCATTAGCTTTATGTTGCAAAGGCTGGTATAAGTCCAATATTATCATGAATCTTGGCAGCAATTGCTGCCAGTTAATCAAATTTTGTGTTTGATTAACTGGCAGCAGATAAATAACCAGGTTATATATCTGCTGTGAAACAAGAGGTTGAAATGGATCCTTCATAACTACCACAGATTAGCACTGTTAGACTTAACGCTCTCAGACATAAGTGTAGGATTCTGGCCAGTATACATTTTTGTGTTTTAAAAAAAACGTTTGTCTTGTAGGTTCGACACTTCAGTACGTCTCTGGTCAGGCCAGTGTCAAAATTGGTGCAGGTAAGCATGATTAACATTTAGAATTGTGTTTGCAAGAGGCACCAGGATTTTAAAGGCTCCATTGAGTATTCGGAGAATAAGTTTAATTTAAATCGGTGAACTACCTTTTGAATAGATGTATATAGGAATGCATTATAGTTCAGTTTAAAGCAAATAAGCAAATATGTGTGATTGCTGGCGCCACAATATTTCTCCCTTGGTGATGTGCACTGTTGTATTATTGTGTTGTTTTTGTGCTTTTCTGTTTTTAAGGGCTTTTTTAAGCATTTGTGTTACATTTTGTTTTGCATTAAATAAATAAAATTTTAAAAGCATTTCCCCCCTGATGATGAGGCCTTCAGGTGCCTCTGTTTCACAAGAAAGAACTACCCGCTGACTCAGAGTCAGTAGCGCTCTATCAGGCTAAAGTAGTGTTGCCTCAGAGAATACACTGCAGTATTAGACAACGGATGTTTTAACAACTTGTTACAGAATCAATGTTAAATTCTGTGTATCTTTGTCTTTAGTGGGATTCCTTAAATTGTGGCATTCTTGGGCAATTTTTATAAACCGCTAGCATGACACTTGCCTTGTGCATTAGTTTTGATACTTTCAGTTCTTCATTGTCTCCTGCAGCCCCCAATTCAAGTGTATGGACTAGAAGGCCGGTATGCCACTGCACTCTATTCTGCTGCATCTAAGAAGAAGCAGCTGGAACAGACTGAGAAAGAGCTGGCTCGTGTGTTGGTAATAAGATTTCACATCATCCTATCTATGCACCTAAGTATCTTCTTCCACAGAAGATGTTAGTTCATGAATATTATGTGGGAACTTTATTTTTTTTCTCTCATTTAAGGTGTATGCTTTTTATTTGGAGCTTATTTTCAGGGGATGTTTTGTTTTTTATGTACAACAATTAAATTTATTCAAATACAGTCATATCTTCTGGTTGCTGCACAATGGTGGAGGGCAGGCTTTCAATTAAGTGGGTCTTATTTTGGGCATAGGGCTTATATTTTGAGCATCCTGAAAAATCATACTAGGGCTTATTTTCAGGTTAAGTCTTATTTTCAGGGAAACGGGGTACCATTTTTAAAAAACCCATTTATTTATTTATTTTAACCACAGCATAAAATACATAAATCAAAATACAAATAAATTGTGTTCCCCTCCATCCTGGTCGGGACATCTTGCAGTAATCTTCTGCCATTGTCCTTATTCTTCTTCTTCCTTTATTGTCCTCTTCTCCAGAACTGTACTGATTTGGAACTTTCCCTTTTCCTCTTGTTAGCACATATTCAAGAAATCTGCCCCATATATCATAAAAGTTATTATTTTTTATCTCTCTTAACCATTACATCACAAGTTAATTTATCATTTATAGCAATATTCCATATTTCATTATACCATTCTTCCATTTGAAATTCACACTTTGATTTCCAATTCCTAGCTATTTTTAATCTAGCTGCTGCTAATAAATTGATAACCAACTCTCTAGTCACCTGAATACCTGACAGGAGAAATATGAACTTGAGTGTCAGTGAACAGTTGGAAATTATAGATGCTTTACATGAATGGTATTGTAACAGCCTAGAAAATAAACTAGTTTTGTGGAGTTGACGTGACGTGGCAGTGATCATCCATGCCTGAGTTACATCACACCTTGACTTCTGCAATGTGGTTTTCATAGGGCTTCTCTTGAAGACTATCTGGGATCTTAGGTCAATGGAATATGTGGCAGGGTAAATGGCATCGCCATCATGTGACCACGATACAGACGGATCTGCAGTTGTTGCCTGTTGCTTATGAAATGCAATTAAAGATATTAGTTTTAATGGGCTTGGGGCCTGTCTGTCTGATAAACCCTTGTCTTGTTATTAACCTGTCCAGATATTAAGATATTCAGAGATGCCTTCTTAAGAATACCAACAGCTGCAGAGGCCCACTTGTCCAACATGCAGGAGGGTTTTTTTTCCCCTCATGAGTCCAGACTGTTGAATGTGGTTCCCTCAGAGCTGCTCTCGGCTTCTACTCTCACCACTTTTAGGAAGGGTGTAAAGGCATGTGATTTATGGCTGACATATAATGTCTGTCATGCTTTTAGCTATTTAAGCTACTCTGAGCATTACTTTGTAGTGGAAAAGAAGAATGAATGGAAAAAAAGCTTTGTGTTCTTCCTTCTAGCACTATTAGTTGACAGCCAAGCTTGCTTTAGGGTTACTGCAACACTATTTATGGTGTCCTTACACCGTTAAAGGGTTATGGACGCATAATTGTGGAGGCAGTCAAATAATCAATTAAACATTCTGTTTTTAAACAAACCAATAAAAGTTCAGCTTGTTTGTAAATTAGTACATTGCAGAGTAAAAATGGGCATTTACAGTCATGCTTTATGTGCATTTATTTTCTGAAATGACTTTTGAGGGTGGTAATAATGTTATATATCTGTGTGACTGATTAGGATTGAAGTCCTTATTACAAAGTAAGCCCCACTGAATATTATTGGTCTTATACCGAAGTGAAAATGATTTGTGCTGTTAATATTTTCAATATTGTGGACGGTAATCTCATAAAACTATCTCTGGCCATTATTTGAACTGTTAATTAAAAAAACACATAAAGAGAGTTTGGATTAATAGTCCCTTTATGCCACAGTGAGTAGACTTACAAGAAGCAGGTCTGATTCTGACTGAGGGATGCTTCTGCTATCGTTCCAGGCACTTATGAAGGACCCTAAATTATCTGCTGTTGTCATGAATCCTCATATAAAAGGTGCAGCAAAGCAAAAGGCTGTGCAAAATGTTCTGGTTAAAGAGAAACTGTCTCCTATCACTCTCAATTTTATCAGTAAGTACCACTTTTCCCGTTGATGAGCAAAATAGTATGAATTGGGCTCTACAATGTTGGACAGTATCCTAACCTCACTAATATACCTAGTTTAGATTGGTATGAACCTTTATCTTTAATTTGCCAGTACCCTATTTGGAACAGGTTCAATGTGTACAAATAGCACTAATTCCTTAATCTCTTTGTTTTTCTAAGATGTGCTTGCTGAAAATGGTCGCTTACCCTATACTCCAGGTGTAGTTTCTTCATTTGGTAAGATTATGAGTGCGCACCGTGGAGAAGTGCTATGTTCTGTAACTACTGCTCAGGTAAGATAAGCTGTTAGATTTTCCTTAGCTATTTTGAGAAGGGTTGTAGATTGCTTGTAGAATAGAGAGGAGCATTACATTTGCAAAACTAATGGCATTCTGTTTACTTATGCCTACAATGGGTCTAATAGAAATATTCTTTTTACATTTTAGCACATAAAATGAATGTAGCAAGGTTATTCGATTCACAGCAGAAGAGGGTGTTGCACTGATTGGCCAAGCATTCTCAAATTAATCTCTAGAAATAGTCTGCAAACACACTTCTCATTTCATGTTCACTTTGTCTACTGTCTTAATTTTAGGTAGGACAGTTTTTGTATTTTGAGACAAGAAAATCACCTTGCTTCTTCATTGGTAACAGAACAGCATTGATATGTGGGCTATGCTATTTATTGAAACATTCTCAAGATTTTACACTTTCATTAATATTCTAGCTGCACACCCCCCCCCACAATAATTCTGTGGTTTCTGTGTTATTAGAAGGAAGCAGAGAGAGCTCATATTTTTGCTCTTGTTCTTTGCAGTGGGTAGCAAAAGAGCAAAGAATGCAGTGTCTTCTTCTTGCTTGTAGCTTTGGGATTGTCAGCACAGCATAGTAACTGGAAAGATGAAATATATACTGCAATATATCACAGTTGATATTGTCCTTGGTCCAAATCCTGTCTTATGGACATGCCTGCCATTACCTTATTGATCTTAAAACAAAATTTTATATAGAAAAGAGTCCAGATTGCAATGTGACTTCCACAAATTTTACTTACTAAAAGTTGATTTTTCTTTATTAAATACACACAAAACAGGAAAATGTCATTAACTAAATCAACTAATCTGCTATATACCATTCATTTTCCAAGCAGAGGGATGTCCTCGTTCCATCCTACTTCAAAACTCAATAGAAGGGTTGAGCATTAAAACAAACTTTTCTTTTTCTGTCTGAATATTTTAGCCCTTGGATGAGGCCAATCTTACTGAATTGAAATCAACTCTGCATGGCTTTTTAGCTAAAGGAGAAGTATTGAAACTGGAACTAAAGGTATGTTTGTGACTCTGTAAATATTCTGTTTACCTCAGAACACGGTGAGTTCTCAAACACTGGAGGTATTCAAGAGAAAGTTGGACAGTCATTTGTTAGATATAAATATAATGTTCCCAAGCTCTGGTTCTGTCATAGTCATGTTACTAGATCCATCAATTTAGCCTTTCTTAAGTTGATGGAGAAACTTTGAAGAATTTAAAGTCCCTTCACGTTTACTTGACTGTAGGCAAAGACGATATGTGGAATGCAAATATATGCATCCCCATCCAGAACAAAGCAAAAAGTTCAGGGCAGCCTACAAAAATGTTTTTTGTAGAAATGAACTAGATGCATCTATATCATTACATTTGTTTTTCACAAAATCCAGATGTTACAGAATGCCATTGTTTTTATTTGTCTAATAAGAAATCTTGCCTACTTTTTCTAGACTGATCCAACCATTTTGGGAGGAATGATTGTCAGCATTGGTGATAAATACGTTGATATGTCTACCAAAACCAAGATTCAGAAACTGAGCAAGATCATCCAACTGCCTGTTTAATGGTCATCTAGAGACATAACTCCCATTAAAGTCTCTTTGTCTGTATTACAAAAATAATAAAACCTCTTGTCCTTGTATAGATGGTGCTGACTTTAATTTTGTACTTAAAAATGTATTTGTTTCATGTGTCCTTTGGTGGGGGTTCCCCTCATATTATAAGACTGGGTGTTCTCCTCCTCCAGCGAAAGTTCCATCCCTGATTAAGGAATATTTCAAGTAAGGTGTTTTAGTAGAAGAATTACCCCTTTATCTTGCACAGGTTTGCTTCCAGGTGCTAGCGACTGCAGTCCTGGAAGCAGCAGTTGTACTGAACCTCTATTCTTGATTCTCTCAACAGAATGTGAGGACTCTGCCCACAAAAAAACTGACTTCCTGCCCTTACAGATCACCATGGCTCTTTATATGCATGCATGAACCTTTAAAAATGTGGAACCCTGTCAGATGAAAAGGTTATGTAACTTTCCTTCTTTTCTTTACTGTCTCAGGTTAACGAAGTCAGCTGTGCTGCTGGTTTTTATGGTCAGATTGCTATTGTTTTCTGATATTTAAAGTTGCCATTCAGGAGTGCTTTGAACCAAATCTGATTGTGCCTGAAATATTAACTTTTTCATTTCATTTTTAATTCTGTTGCTTAGTGTGGTAAATTGCACTAGAGTAGACCCATTAAATCAATGGGGATTTGGTGAGTCAACTCTTAAATTTCATTGATGCAAGTGCGACTTACTTTAGCATAGTACGCTAAGCAACAGCATTTTGGCCACTGTGTGCTGAGGTATGAGCAGTAACTAAGAAATTAGCTGCACAGGAACAGAGAGAACTGTAATTGTTTTGGAATCATTTTAGCATTCAAAAGCCAGCCAAAATGCCTTTATTTTAAAATAAAGCATAAAGGTCAGTTTTTATTCTGTCTTGACAGAAAATATGCAAATTCTTCTCATCATTACTGCAGTTAATGTGCTGAGAAAACTGCTAGCAAATGCATGCTATTAAAATAAGTTTTTCATCAAGGACCACAGTAGTACCTCAGTTTACAAAATTAATATGTTCTCTGGAATGTTACATAATGCAGAAAATTCATAAACCGAAACACAGATTGCCATAGGAACGGGGACGGTGCTAAAAACCTCCAGGCACAATGCATCCTGGGGAAACTTTCTTCATAAACCGAAAAGCACTGGGAAAAAAACGTAAACCGAGGCATTATTTTCAACAGATTTCCATTCGTAAACCAAAAATTATGTAAACCGAGGCACTACTGTAGTCACTTCCAGTTGTTGTGTTTTTTTCATAAGGTTTCAGGGCTGGGACCCTTGGGTGTGTGTGATTTACATTTTTGGGTCCATCTTTTTCCAATCTGTTTTGGGCTTGTACGGGTTGAGGGTGAGGAACCCTTGCAGAACTGTACTTTCCCCATGCCTAGTCACGGTTTTGCTTCCTGTGTTCTCCAAGGATACATAGATAATTTATCTCTGGATCTCTTCTCACAAGTCTAATAGTAAGGCTCTTTCAACATTATTTAATTTGTAACAACACACCAGCACTCAATTTCATAGTACCTCGTGAGTAAAATTAGCCACATTTCTTGAGTAAAATTAAGACAACCAAGGAAGGTTTAGAACAATGACATTTAATATTTTTCCACCACTAAATGATTTGTACCTTTTTTTTTCTTCTACCACAACAATGTGTTATTTTCATATACATTGTTTGTTAAAATGTACCCATATGGAAAAAGGAAAGCATGGATTTAGTTCTATTTACATACTTTAATTCAAACATTTTTGTAACAACATTGAAAAATAGAAACTTAAAAGATTTTTTTTTAATTGTGTGTTCCACCAGTCAGTGGTAAACAATTACGTGCCTGTTAAGTTAAACCTTCTCTAAAACTTGGTCAGTTGAAAGTTCTAACTAAAGGGTGTTTCTCTATTCAAAAAAATACGTTAAGTATGTCATTTTTGATACAAAATTCTACACTATATTCAATAAATAAATAATAGAGCAATTCTTAAAAGTATGAAATGTAAACTTTTTGTCCCTCCAACATACAGAAATTTTAAAAAATAATTGCTGGAAATAATACAGTGGTCTCCTTGGAAACAATAGTATACAGACACTTTCAAGCACAGTTTACAATGATCACCAGACCTTATTTACCTATCAAGTATAAAGCTATCCTAATTTCCTAATGGAAATCATAAAGTTTTGCTGTACTAGATAACACCATCTCCACAGGAAACATGGAAACTGATACCAAAACAACATGCAAAGAACAACAGAGCCAACACATCTCACAAGAACACTGACATGCTAATAGACCAATCAATACCTTCCATTCTGAAAGTCATTTTAAAAATAACAAACACATATGCATGATCCTTGGGGTAAGAACTGAAAGACTAAAACACAAAGTGAATGAATTTCTTGGTACTGAAGTGAAGATGTTCCAAAAATTCTACCCTCAATATTGTGCCTAGTTCAGCAAAGTTCTTGAGAATATAACTTCTCTTTGTTCAGTTGATTTCAAAGCACTTTGCTGAATAAAGTTCTATGTGGGTAACTGTATGAATGAATTTACAAAATAGCAACAAATCCTTTTGCCTGGATTGCTTGCTTTGCAAAACACTCCTCACACCTAATATGGACAGACAAATTTGCAGTGAAGCACATTTGCAGTTAACTCTCTTGAGGCGCTACAGTATGCTGCGATCCTGGTACTCCTTTTATTTAGGCACAGCACAATTTAACACATTAGACCCTTCTGGCTGCTTTTTCAGCTTTGTCTCGATACAGCATGAATTTGCTTTCCTGAGCAGCTGTTTTCCTGCCACTTTTGGTTTATCCTCCCTACTTTTATAAGTTTAATAATTGAGTTTCAGTGGTACAGTATACATAGATGCACAATAACCAGTTGAGGACGAAGGATATCCTAAGGCAAACAAGAAGCAACCAGCACCAGGTCCTAGTTGAAGTCTTGCTCACCCAGCCCCTAATTATACCCTAGACCACAATATTCATTTATGTCTAACAAATACCATATTTTCCCGTTTGTAAGATGACCCAATGTATAAGATGACCCCCTTTTTCTAACCCCCAAATTAGAAAATTTGATCCCCACGGAGTTTTAGGAAGTGGGTAACGCAGCCATGAAAGGGCTGCATAATCACACCCCTTTGATCCTGAAGCTGCTATGAAAGGGCTTCAAGATCAAACGGATGCGATTGTGCAGCCCTTTCACAGCTGCTTTACCCGAAGGGAGCCTTCCCTTCCTTTTTGCTAAGCCCTGTGGCTTCGCAAAAGGCAGGGAAAGCGGCTGCGTTCCGTGCATAAAACAACCCTCGATTTTTTGTCTAATTATTTAAGAGAAAAGTGTCGTTTTATACACGGAAAAATGCAGTACTCAGAAAAAGCAATCTTCAGCTCTGCTTATAAAAGCATTTCAGATTACAGGCAACTGTCATTTAAACTTCAGATCGGAATATTCTTTTTTTTTCCTTTCTTTGAAAACAGGTTCAAATATCACAAAACTTCCTAAAAGAAATTCAAATATCTTACATGGCAAGAACATTTTCATGTTATAGGTATTTTCTATATAAATATATTCACATTATGTTTATACACCACTCTGTGGGGCAATAGGCACAACATTTCAAGAGGGAATTTACAGACGTCTGCAAAGACACATCAGCAATACCCGCTTCTGTTGATAACGGCATGCTGCAGTAGCCAGAGAAAGTGCAATGTTTATCTTCCTTGCCAGAGGGCTGGCTACAACTCTGTTATTCTAGAAATCCTGAAAACTACAGCAGAAGTTCCACACAAAATGAAAGAACTGAAAGCTAAAAACCAAGGTGACATTTTCCTCACAAACTTGGAATTCCAGTTTTCCGCAAGGATTAGCTAGAGTAGAAAGAGTTGCATGGCTTTGACCTCTTTGCCTCTGGAACACAAGTAGTAGCTTCATATAAAAAGGCTGAGGATCTTTACAGACAAGATTTTGTGGACACCTATTGCAGTCATTTCAGCTGAGGGAAGCATTTTCTTTTTAAGGTTCATCAAAAAGCTGTAGATCTAGTCGGACAACTATCTCTCCTGTTGGAACTTCATGCAGGAGAAGACACTTTGTAACTGGTCCTTTGGAACCCTGGTCTTTCTTAATATCTGCTACACGGATTTCTGTTCTGCCCAAGAAATCTGCAATACACACAAGATAACACTGTAGGTAAGAAATGACAGCTTCCTCCAACAAAGACCCATCTTTGAAAACAGATAACTTCAGAAACAGCATCAACTTTCAGAACAAATGGAAAATGGAAGCAGAACAATTTATCTCATGTATAACCACGTTATGGCCTAACAGTGGGTCTCCCTTTATCTTCCTGTTTTATTTCACCAATGCTGTCATTCTGTAATATAGTAGTTCTGTCTTCTCAGTGCTGGGATAGAAATGCAGCTTTTGAGGGGGAAAAGGAAATTGAGGCCAGAGCTGTCGTGCGCTGTTAAGTTGCCTCCAACACAGGGCAACCTTATGAGTGAGCAATCTCCAAAAGGCCCTGCTCTCAGCTGCCCTGCTCAGCCCTGGAAACCTCAAGCCTATGGCTCCCTTTAGCAAGTAAGTCCAGCATGTGTAAATCTCTCAGTCTTGATTTCACTGCATTTCTCTGAACCCCACCTGGATTTTCTTCTCATCCTTGTTCCATACTGAAGTGCAAGAAACTCATTTTTATGAGTCACAGAAACCATGAAGAAAACCTATGGCAACTGGGAGCAATGGAGAAACAGAAAACCACCAGTAGAGGAACTCTCCACTTGGGCTTTCCGGTCACCTCCATCCCACTGCATGCTTTGAGGAGTTACTCAGAGCAGAAAATGAAGCAATCGTACACCCACGTGGACATACGGACACAGAAAAAAATCGGGGTTCAAAATGAGGGGAAAACACTTACCGTCTGGGGAAAACTGGTCCCTCTCAAATACTGTTATGCAGAGCACATCCTGTTCTAAATCTTTAATGAAAAACTGGCAGTTAGAATTCCACTTGGGGTTGAGAGTGTCTTGTATGGTCTTGGTAATATGACACTGAGAGCCCATTGTCACTTCACAGTATGGGTTACTCTTTCCTAGAGGACAACACAGAGAGATGCACAGCTGTGGTCATGTATTTTTGTAACATGTCTTTGGGCTTTCACAAGAGAGTCAGAGGAGCCTAGTGCCTATCCCAACATCTGGCACCATTCGAGTGCCCTTCTCCATCTTCTTCTCCTCACCCCCTCTCCCGCTGCCACCTTCTAAGAAACGAAAGTTCAATTCTTACCATGGGATCTGCAGGGCTTCAGTTCAATACCTTCAACGATGTTGACCATTAACCTTCCAATACCTGTTGCCCTTTGGGACCGGACTGTGGCAAGAAAAGGCAAGATTCATTACAACACTCTTCTGATACTTTGGTGAAAACTCAGAAATACCGTACCCCTCCTTGTGCAATACCTAAGTAGGCCTTTTCCCTCTTCTTCTTCTCTGTTTCTATGTAAAGTTCAGAAGCAGCTTTGATTTTCTGAACCCAAGCCGTTCTTGAAAAAGAGATGAAAATAAAATAATACATTATTATGAAGTACATGCAAGGCTGCCTGCCTGCAGAATAGGATGAAGATCTGGGTGGCATCATAAACATCCTTGTGTTAGTTCTTGTTTTCAGGATCAGACTGGATATAACATGAGAGACTTCTGAATAGGGCCTTCTTTATGTTAAAAAAAGGTGTTGGTGGCAATGATTTAGGGTCTCTGTTCAGCTCTGGATGGCACTGCTGGGAAAGGGAAGGTATAAGCCTTCCCTTGCCTTGTTTTCCCAACTGAAGTTGTCTGATGACTTGAAGCTGTTATTTGTCCCTTAAGTGGAAACACACAGATAATCATATAATTTCTGTGAAGATAAAGATGGGGAAAGGCATAGAAGGAGAACTTGACGCACTGAGCACTGCAGGAATCCCATTGTGAAAGAATGGTCAAAATCCTGATGTGCAGTTATGCAAACAGTGTAACCTTTAAAAGCAAACTGTTCTAATTCTCTGCAGACATTACCTCCTGTATGCCAAGTTGCATCTCCATATGGAACACATAACATCTATGTGGATTTCTTAACCTATGGCAATTTGCTTCCATTGTATGCCAAGTTGCATCTCCATATGCAACACATAACGTCTATGTGGATTTCTTAACGTATGGCAATTTGCTTCCAAATGTTGCAGTGTTTGCACAACCACACAACAGGATTTCAGCCAGTGTGTGTGCACGTATGTGTGCCCATGCATGTACAAGGGCTTATGAATATTTTAGTCATGGCGGTTACAGATGCAGAAGTATGTTACCTTTCATTTATACTTTCTGCCCGAAGTGTGTAGACTCGATCAATGTGAGAGATGTGGAATATAGGCTCATCTCCAGAAGGATCCGTAGGAAGTTTTACCAAGACTTCATTTAGAAATATGGGCTGCAGAAACAGTAGGCAAGGATAGTGTAAGTCATCTCAGGATCAATGTTGGGTGACAAATGTCAAGTTTAGAACACACAATCCAATTGGTCTGTTTCTGGGCAGGCATTAATTTGCAATTTTCACCATAGTAATTTGCAGCATAATATCATTCTATAAAACAAATACATGACACCTAGGATGAAAGTATCAGATACTTCAGAGGTGGGCAACTTTGGTAGGTATATGAACTAAAAGGTTGAAAACCCATGTCCAAACTGAAGATAGTTGCTATTCCAGAGGCACCAGTTATCCTTTATGGAGTAAAACAACGACAACATCCCCACAAAAAAGTAGGGTCCCAGAGGTTGCCAAAGAAATTGCAAAACAAGTAGGAGGCACATGTACATCTGTCCAGCTGACACTGAGGATCAACAGACCGCACTGGGCTGCCAACTGTGTAAGCTAAATGTAACTCTATGGGCCAGTGGCAAAACTTCAAAAATAAATTAAGAACACAATTGGTTGTCACATTTGAAGCCATAAGTAAAAGACAAAAAGATGAAACTTGATATACAAGCGCTTGTTGTTGCCCCAAGCACACAGCCAGGGTTTGTGCACTTAATCAAGAAGTTTGCAAATTTATTTGGGGAGGAGCATCAATGTTTGAGTTTAATATTAGGTCAGCAATGGGTATAAAATGACTTTTTTTGAAATAGCAGATCCATGAATGATATGACAATCCAGGGACTTACAAGAAACCTGGCTTGTCACAAATGATGCAACGTTTTGGTGCACACATTTTTCTCCAGTTTGTTGTGGGGCAACAAATGACTAGGGGCCTGGATATAAGGAGTACTTTTCCCTATAAACCAACTGTGGAGCTTTGAGATTTATTTATCAAAATTTTATTGCTGTAATTGAGATTCACAAACACTATGAATGTGGAAGAAACTTCACATTTTCTCTAGCGGTAGACTAGAGATCTGAGTCTAGTTTTGCTCCATTACTTCTCCCTGGGTCAATCAACACCCAGACAAACAGAGAAGTGGGATGAAATTAAGCAGTGTGCTCTCCATGGAGCCTCTCAGGCTTCCACAAGAAGGTCTATAATTACACGCCAAAGTGAGATGTTTAACATATACCTTGGAGAAACAAGGAATTGCTTGCAAGCACCTTCCCATCACTAGCTCTGGAAGCTGGTGAATAATGGCAAGATAGTGACCAAAATTAGACATGACACAAATTTCATTAGAAATTGTGTGCAGTGTGGATTTTCATCCAGATTACATCCTGTGGGAAACATTACCCCTAAGGTGGATTGGGTGGAAGGGTTTTCATTAGGATCCTGTTAGGGAAGCAAGTCTTATCTCATCTTCCAAGACACTAAGATCTACTCCCTGCTATTTATTGATTTTCTTTTTCAAAAACCCTGTGACACAAGTTTCTAATGATACACTTAATATCACATTTATTATTTATTTATTTATTTATTGGACTTATATACCGCCCCATAGCGCTACAAGCACTCTCTGGGCGGTTGCATGTTTGGAATGAAACCAAGGACAGAAAATGTTTTGGGAAGAGGATGGAAAGCACTGTTCTGAAGAGGGCATGGCTGGCCAGCCCCCATTCTGAGTCAATATTTTGTTATAGGTCCTGCTTGTTACCTACCATTGTCTACTGATGTGGTTTGAGTTCTGTATGTTTCACATTACTGACATTCACAGAAAGAGTAAATATTCCACTGGTGCACCCCCAGGGGAATACTATCTATCTATCTATCTATCTATCTATCTATCTATCTATCTATCTATCTATCTATCTATCTATCTATCTATCTATCTATCTATCTATCTATCTATCTATCTATCTATCTATCTATCTATCTATCTATCTATCTATCTATCTATCTATCTATCTATCTATCTATCTATCTATCTATCTATCTATCTATCTATCTATCTATCTATCTATCTATCTATCTATCTATCTATCTATCTATCTATCCATCCATCCATCCATCCATCCATCCATTCATTCATTCATTCATTCATTCATTCATTTAAAATAGTGTTACTCCATCTTTCTCCTAAAGAAGAACCAAAGGTGGCTTAAATCATTAAAAAAATTCAGAGCTAGAAACAGTAAATTATACAAATATTAAAGAAGAATTAATAACATTATGTTAAAGATATTAGGTAAAAGCAGTGCAAAAACAGAGATGGAAGCAACAAAATACAAACCATCCTTTTTATTGTCTCCTAGGCTAACTGTTCTCAACCTTCCCCCCCCACCCCCACCCACGGCCATAAACACAATGTGAAAGAAATACAGGCACAATCAAGATGATGTAAGCCACATAATGAACCTTATCAAGTGGTGTGTAAAGAATTGTTTCCAATCTGTGGCCCCTTTCAGGTGTGCCAGGGACCCCAGGAGGCAATATGACCCATGTTGAGAATGGCTGTACTAGACAATCAGTCACTAAGGAAAAGCCTGCCTGAAGAGAAAGGTCTTCACCAACTTGTGGAAGAACAGCAAAGATGGGGCCAGCCTGGCCTCCTGTAGGAGAGAGTTCCAAAGTCTAGGAGCAGCAACAGAGAAGGCTCTCTCCTGTGTCCCCACTCCCAAAGCACCTGTGAGGGTGATGGGGCCAAGAGAAAGACCTCCCCTGTGATCTTAACACTGGGGTACGCTCATAAAGGGAGGTACAGTTTTTGAATATGCCAGCGCAACACCAAAGCCAATCAAAACATGTGAACTAAACTAGACCAAGCAAACAAGAAAGAGATGTTTTTCTGCCATCCATCACTAGTTAGCAGGATGCAACTTTAATTTTGGGTTAAGACAGAAATAATGCCATTCTATGATTGAATCTCGGTAATACTTTAGGGCACAGAAATAATCAATGCCATTCTATGATTGAATCTCGGTAATACAATAATGCTGAATTTGGGAGACAACAGGATATGGACTGTAACTTGCAAAAATCCTTCAGTGCTGTGGGACATTTCAGATTTTCTTGTATTCATTGGACCAATCACAGCAAGAAGCACCCTGTCCTTTTCTTTATTTTAAAAAATGTTCTCTCAGCCACAGAAATAATCAATGCCATTCTATGATTGAATCTCGGTAATACAATAATGCTGAATTTGGGAGACAACAGGATATGGACTGTAACTTGCAAAAATCCTTCAGTGCTGTGGGACATTTCAGATTTTCTTGTATTCATTGGACCAATCACAGCAAGAAGCACCCTGTCCTTTTCTTTATTTTAAAAAATGTTCTCTCAGCAATAAGGAAGTACCAGTGGAAGTTTACACATAAAGCAGTAAAAACCAGGCCTCTTTGTACTTCAAGAATAAACTCAACTACCAATTACCTTCTACCGCTTTTTCAATACCTTATGTTGGCAGTCTTAATTCACATCCTCAGAGGTTCACTTAAAAATCTTTTTTTTTTTTTTGTATCTTTAGGTAACCCTTATTTATGTTACCAGAGACATTTTAAATAGTTTCTCTTTATGAAACAGCAAATAATCTATCCAGACGATAAGACAATTCTTTATTGTCTGCCCTCAAGGAGATACTCATTAGGCCCATTCGAAAAAAACGGAATTGGCGGCGAACGACACTGGCAATTATAGGCCCGTCACCAGAAAGAAACTGAATTGGCGGCGGACGACACTGGCAATTATAGGCCCGTCACCAATGTTTCTTTCATTAGTAAAGTGGCCGAGAGGGTGGTGGCCAATCAGCTTCAGGCACATTTGGATGAAACAAATGCCCTGGATCCGTTCCAGTTGGGCTTCAGGCCGCACCATGGTACAGAAATGGCATTAGTAGCCCTGTTAGATGACCTATTGAGGGAGGCTGACAGGGGGAAAATGTCTCTGTTGATCCTCCTCGATATCTCAGCCGCCTTTGATACCATTGACCATGGTATCCTCCTGAGGAGGATCTCCGAATTGGGAATTGGTGGCCTGGTGCTGGCCTGGCTCCAATCCTTCCTGGGGGATCGTCCTCAGAGAGTTCAGCTTGGGGAGAGTGAATCAGCCCCGTGGAGCCTCAACTGTGGAGTTCTGCAGGGCTCGACTATCTCCCCAATGCTATTTAATATCTATATGAGCCCGCTGGGTGAGGTAACTGGGAGTGTGGAGCATTGTGCCATCAATATGCTAATGACACTCAGCTCTACATCTCCTTTTTCCAACTACAATGGAAGCTGTTCTGTCCTTGCAGTGCTATTTGGGGTCTGTATTGCAATGGATGCAGGAATGGAAGCCGTTCTGTCCTTGCAGTGCTATTTGGGGTATGTACTGCAATGGATGCAGGAAAATGGGCTGAGGTTGTACCCGGACAAGATGGAGGTCCTGAGGGTGGGCAGACCCACATCAGTGGTTTGGGAAACTCCCTCTCTTTTGAGGGGGGGTGACTCTCACCGCAAAGAGTGAGCTTTGCAGCTTAGGGATCTATCTGGACCAGGCGTTCACCATGGAAACCCAGGTGGCGTCAGTGGTCTGCACCACCTATTTCCATCTTTGACGGATTGCCCAGCTGCTTCCCTATCTTGATGTTGGGTCGTTCACCACTCTGGTCCATGCGCTCATAATCTCGAGGTTAGACCACTGCAATGCTCTCTATGTGGGACTTCCTTTGAGATTGATGCAGAAACTCCAAATGGTGCAGAATGTGGCTGCCAGACTTCTTAGTGGGGTGATGAAACACCAACATATCACTCCCACCCTGGCCGCCTTGCATTGGCTGCCCATTCATTTCCGTGTTGATTTCAAAGTTCTTACGATTACATATAAAGCCCTAAACGGTTTAGGACCTCGATACCTGGCACAGCACCTTCTCCCGCCCAGTTCTGCCACAGTCACTCATTCCAGCCAGGCTCTCGGCTGTACCTCCATCTTTGGAACAAACTCCCCTCTGAGATCCATTTGGCCCCCTCGCTGGGCATTTTTAAAAACCAACTTAAGACCTGGTTATTCAGACAGGCTTTCCCTCTGGGCACTATTTAATTTTCTTTTTATTCTCTCCATCTTGAATTATTATCTATGTGCTGTTAACTGATAATTAATTTCAATTGTTTTACTTTGTGCTCTGTGAGCCGCCCAGAGTAGACTATGTCTAGATGGGCAGCATACAAGTTCAATAAATAAATAAATGAATAAATTTATACTTTTGTAGTCTATATGGTATTTCTTCCTCCACCCCAGGGGTGGGCAATTAATTTCTATAGGGGGGCCACATGAAAAATCTGAACTGTGTTCGGAGACAGAACCAACTTTACTTAAAATGAAACAGTGATGTTATGATTGTTTTTATTTTAAACTTGTTAATCTTCACAAATACTAAATAGTTTTTTTGCAGTATGTTAAAGATAAACAACTGATCAACTTTAGACAAAAAGCTATAAATGGTTTTGATGTTCAAAACTGTCTGCGGGCCAGACAGGAGTGGCTCGCGGGCCGTAGGTGGCCCTCGGGCCTCACTTTGCCTAGGTCTGCTCCACCTCCTTCCCTGCTTCTCCATTACCTCCTCCCTTTGGCTGCTGTGGTCTTTTCCTATCCACTTCATTCCATCACCCAGTTATCAGTTATTTTCTTTCTCAATCTGTCAACACCTGAGTCTCTGGCTTATCAAGCAGCTATTTTTAAGGGGTTTGTCTTGCTTACTGTGTGTGATGTCTTACTTACAATATGTGATGTCTGTGCAAACTTCAAGGTCACCACAATATGCTGATACCTCTCTTCTCTTTAGGTGCCACTTTTTTGGTTATGCATAAGCCCAGTAAAACTTGAACTGGGGTTAGAAGTAACACCAATGATTGGGAGGATGCCAGTATGTGCACACAGCACAACGTATCTGAGTTTATATTGCACATCTAATTTTACCTAAGAATATGGTAAACACCTGATTCCCCTACATAGAAGAGTTACCCATATAAGAATATATTCTGTGAAGTGTCCTGTATGCAGTAACACATATTGCTTATGCACTTAACTGTGACAAGTCTTTGGATTTTCATCAAATGCATTTGCTTTTAAAAATGATACTTACTGTTTTGTACATTTTATACTGCAGGTTTGACTTGGGGCTGAAGACCTTGTCTGTTCCAGAGGAGCCAAGAGGTTTTATGATCTGCGTCAGCAGGAGGAAGTCATTGAACAGAAAACCATACAATTCCTTGTTGCTCTTAGCCTTGTAGAGTTTTCCACTGTGCAGAAATTTGCGTGGCCCCAAGCAGTTTGTAACAGAATTAAAAACAAGTTGCTGAGGTGGGAACAAAAATAGACACACAAAAACCAGCAGCATCAGATGAATGACAAGAGACCGGTTGTGATACTGTTGTAATGCAGCTGAAATGTTGACACTCACTTAAGTTATTTTTGCAAGGCGGAAGGAGGGCAAATTTGTAACTGGCCTTACAAATGAAATGATGCAGGAAAATGGTGGTTGACACTTGATGGTTGGCAGGAAAATCACTTAGTGCTAAGATTACTCTATGTGCTCTGTGTTTTCCAGCCAAGCTGGATTTACTTAGGATGGAAGGAGAAGTGTAAGCACTGACTTTCCACTCCATTCTGTGACCATCTCAGCTGAAAGCAATAGCAGGCAGTGATGCTCACACCTGATATGGAGGGGAGGGTGGATTGTGTCACTATCCGAAAGACTGCTCAGATATGGCTACAGCCCTCATACCTGATCGGGGGAAAGCAACATAGGGTAGAGATATCAAGTCTGACCGATAGTCTTCCGGACTGGCACTTGTAACAGGTGCTGACGCTGAAAGTGTGTGCATGTGTCAAAGATGCTGGGGTAGGCAGCCCAATCAGCCCTACAGGTAGTAGCAGTGAAGGGAGCATAAGTGACACCAAAAGAGGAGCAGAAGATGTTGGAATCTTTGATGTCAGTACAAAAGTTGATGCTAACAGCAACAGCCGAAGCCACACCAAACCAGCCAATGTCAGTTTTACCTCTGATAATCCTTCACACTGAACATGTGCCTGGATCCATTCTAGTCGGTCTGAATTCTCCTTCTCACGCACACCTTCATTAACCTGTGAACACAGTTCTTCTGCTTTCTCCAGAGCATGCTTCAAATGGCTGTGATCAGGGTGGTTTTCAGGAGTGTTTTCTAGTATCTACAGGGGAGGAAATGGTTCAGTTCCATACAAATCTGCCCTTTTTAAAGCTTTGCTATTTTACCAAAATAACCTTTTTAAAAAGGTAAAAACAGAAAGGCAGTGTTGAATTAAGCCTGTCCTAATTCAGGAAAGGGAAGAAGAAGATCACTTACGATTCTCAAAATAGTACAAAAATGATTTTTCTTCAAAGTAATGTCATGTTTGTCTGGTTAATCCAATATAAAAGGAGTATTTCATTATCTTTACAATCCCCAGACCTTACACAAGCATTCATTTGAGCAAATGTTGGCTTCTGGCTGTGAACATCTATTTTGATCTGTGGTGAAGAAGGCAAACCCATCAATACCCAGGCAAGGCAGGGGACTCATGATTTAAAAAGGAGACGTCTTCTGCATGTTTTCTTGGCTCCTCCCCAGTTCCTTTCCATGGCATAACTTTTGCTCAGAATAGTTAAGGGACAGCAAGAGAAGATAGATGAGAGGAAGGAATCACTACTATTCTGTTGAAAAAATTGTGGGAACAAGGCCAATTAGGTATGAAAATAAGACAGCCACCATCTAGATCAGCCGGGATGCCTCCTTTATCACAGATCTGACTGGCTCATCACAGAGATAAGCCACCATCATATTCTCAGTCTGCAAAAGGAGTCACCCATTAATGGTATCTATCCAACTGCTCCCCTTTACAATTAATCACTGAGCAGGAAGAGGTGGCCCACTTCCTTAAGCTGAGAAACACCCTTCTCCAGGTGGTAGTTAATGGAGAACATTGGGACCACATAATTGCCTCACATACTTCCTCCAAAGGAACTCTTGCTGAAAAGGCTGCTATTGTGGCAGTGGCTGTGATGAAAGGAATGTTTAGGGACAGGAGTTAAACTCGTCAGAGAAGTATGGATACCAGCAAAGGGCAAAAACATGCAGACTCCAACTCTGACTTCTCAATCACAGCAATTCTGCCACCGTACTGCTACCTGCAAATGACTTACGTTTTTAATGATTAGAGGGTAACGTGTTACTCGTTGCATAGGCTTCAGCAGAAAGCTTGAGAGAGGCATCCCTTTACAGTGAGGATCCATAGCTAACCTCTGAAATATTAAGAGAAAACAATACGTTAACAGCTTACTTACAAAACTTCGACAACAATATTATAAAAATGCCCAAAGCAATCTGTGGCCTCCATTTCTTATCTACACTCAGCTTAAACAGGATTCCTTAGAATGGTGCAAGCTTCTTTTCAGAATGGACACAGGGGACATAGTCTATTCATATAAGCAAGAGGGCGGGTAGTGGTGGTTAAAGCATAGATTCAAGTTCTAGATACTGGACTGATTATTCCCCGAATAGAAAGTCTCCACACTGTAGAATATGCACATGGGGCATCACAGAGCCCTGCAGTGCCCTGTCCCACCTCCTCTCATGGTACCTCTTTATGGAAAACAGAAACATAGCATTTCTTAGCCAAATGAAGAGCTTAAGAGAATGCAGGAGATTCCCATACTAGTGTCACCATTACTTCTAACTATTCTCCAAAGGCAAGTGATACTACTACATCCCTCTCTTATGAACCTCTCTCTGTAGAAAGTCACTGCATTGCATGGGGAAGTATTATTCCCCTCAAATTTATTCCAGTCTCCATAGTTTTCTTTGTTAGTCTCACTGGCTCCTTGTTGAACAAGTGTGGAGTTCCTCATCCAGTTTAATCATAGAGTTCTCTGAGGAAAGTCCTTCTGTTCTTTCCAGAAGTATCCAGTTAGTCATTGCTGGAAACAGAATTCTGAACTGAACAGATCACGGATCTACTTAAGGAGGGCTCTTCTTATATTCAGAAATATTTTATTTTCTTTGAACAGCAATTGTAAGTGCTCTTTTAAAATCCCTTCGATTTTCAGAAATAATTTGACATGCTCCTCTGTATGCACAAAGTTAATTGCCAGTTCTCTAAATCAATTACTGTATTTTATTTTATTTATATAAAATATTTTTAGCCTGCCTTTCTCCTTGAAAGGACCCGTTATCATGTCCTGCAGATAATGGCAGCAAGATGGAATCCTGTTCCCAATTGGCACCAGCAGGTGGCAGTGTACCACCTTCTGCTGTTGCTGCTTTTTGTCAGTCTTCAGCCAGAGTAGTTATCACTAATAAAAACGACTGAAGAGAAGATAATTTCAATGCAAGGGTGCCAGTGCTTGGCCAAGTGAATTGCTTAGACTATGAACTCTAGAATCCCCTGGCCAGCAGAGCCCTAAAGTAACTTTGTCAAGCTTTGGAAGACGCTTTACCCTTCTTCCTCTTTTGGCACTTCAAAGGAAAGGACAGTAGCTGAAAGAGCTTCTGTGGACACAATAAATTAGCAACACTGATGTTCTCTTACTTTAACGAACTCTTTGAACTCAGGGACTTCATCTGTTTTTTGCTGGATGAGGGCTGCCCCATTAAGCTGACAGCTACAGAAGCGAATGTAAGGCTGCATGTGTGGAAGCTGGGCTGTCAGGATATCTCCTATCATTTTGACCGGCATCCTCTCTCCTGACATTTTCTTACGTACACGCAGTGCTCTAAGCACAAAAGGAAAACAAAAGGCAGAGACTGTATAGATGCCATGGACAATATGGATGCATTGTGTTCACACATTTAAATGAATATACAGTATTTGTATTATACTTCCACAAAAACAAAACAGTAGAGATCTGGGTTGTATCCAGTTAGTGCCCTTCCACTGAGGGAGGTCCTTTGAGTCAGTGGAACAGGTAGGGAGACGATTTTTGGAGATTCCCCCTCCCCTCTGTCCTGGCACTCCTTCCTCTACACTCCATGATGTTTGTTCTCCAGGTCCTCTAATTCTTTCAAGCAGTTTTGAGGGATTGCAGGGAAGAAGAATTGCCAAAAATCACCTCACCCAGTTTTCCTAATGGAAGTTCTCCACAGGCTCAAAGTGCATTCTGCAAATGGAGGGACATAATTTTATACAACGTTGGCTGGATAGCTCAGCGATTTAGGCATATGTTTATGGAGCCAGAGGTTGGGAGTTCAATTCCCCACTGTGTTTCCCGGGAGAAGAGCCAACCTGTGTGGCCTTGGGCAAGCTGCATTGTCCCAGGGCACCCCCAGAAGAAAGGAATGGTAAACCGCTTCTGAGTATTCTCTAGCTGGAAAAGTCTGAAAAGAGTCGCCGTAAGTCAGGACTGACTTGACGACAGGCAATTACAGTGGTGCCTCACTTAGCGATCGCTCCGTTGAGCGATGAATTCGCATAGCGAGGGGATCCGGGCCATCGCTGGAGCGTTCGCTCAGCGATGGCCCCTATGGCGTTTTTTCGCTGTGCGACGATCGGTAAGCGATTCGCTTAGCGATTTTCGCACAACGAAGCGGGGGAAAACAGCTGATCGGCGGTTCCAAAATGGCAGCCGCAACTTTTCCTGCCGCCCCTATGGAGGGCCCGAAAATGGCCGCCCCTATGGAGAAGCTTCACTCAACGGTAAGTTTAGGGCCCATTGGAACGCATTAAACCAAGTTTAGTGCGTTGGAATGGTAAACCGCTTCTGAGTATTCTCTAGCTGGAAAAGTCTGAAAAGAGTCGCCATAAGTCAGGACTGACTTGACCACAGGCAATTATTATGATTAATTTTATACAATTCTCATTAATGTAACTGAACATATGGGAGGACAAAACATCTGTGGATGGTGAAAATTGACATCTTGCTTTGAAACAACTGACTGGACACCCCCACCATTCAATATTCCAGATCTCTACAAGGAAGAAAATGCTTAAGAAGAAAATAAACAACAAGGTGTAATTTCATAACAATTGTTGTATGTACTTCTCAATATAAATATGCAAATTTTAAAAAATGTTAGTTTGATTTCAGTTTAAAAGTAATAGAAATTTTAAGAAAATATATTATTCCCATAGAAACAGCATGCATATTATATTACATTAAGCAACCAATTGCACTTTTCCATGTACATGCTTTTTGGAATGCATTATATTATGTCTTCACCACAAAATGGCAAAAAACAAAACATAATGGTCATTACAAACAATATGGCTTCCCAAAGAAAGAGAAAATGAATTCACCTTGATTTTTTTAAATTGTTGATTTAAAAAACTTACTTCAGTAGTTTAATATTGCACATAATCAATTCTTTCCAATTTACAAAAATCATAGCAACTTCCTTTTCAGTCAAAAGCTCAGAGTCCATCAGTGGCTTCTGAAAAATCTGTAGATTCAAGTGAACAGTTTAGAATGCACAGTAATGCTCTCTGCTGTACTTAATTCACCACCTTGAAATGAATTATCTGGAAACTCCAATTTCAGGTCATGTGACAAGGGTACATTAAGAGTCAAAGATAAGCCCTTTTAAATTTCATTAGCTCCATTTAATGAACTTTCCCATTCCAATCAATGGTTGAAATCTTCTTGTGCAGCTAGCTTCACAGATGCAATGAATAACATCAGCAGCTGCCGCAATCCATAGTTGGTACGAGTAAAAAGCTTCCTTTGGCAATTTTGAGGTCTACACTTTAGCAATGAAAAGACTTATACCTTGGTAACAGATGAAATTTCATATGGTTTGACATGGGTATCTGATTTCACGCCAGAATAACCTTTCAGGAATAAATATCAACCGTGACAGACCACCTCGGACTCAAACTGGCAAGGTAAGGTAAAGGTTCCCCTTGACACCGGAATAACCTTTCAGGAATAAATATCAACCATGACAGACCACCTCGGACTCAAACTAGCAAGGTAAGGTAAAGGTTCCCCTTGACAATTTGTCCAGTCGTCTGCAACTCATCTCTGTTTCCAACCCATAGAGCTAGCATTTGTCCGCAGACAGTCCTCCATGGTCATGTGGCCAGCATGACTAGATACAGAACACCATTTAGCTTCCCACCGAGGTGGTACCTATTTATCTACTCGCATTTGGCGGGAGCTGGGACAAGCAACAGGGGCTCACTCTGTCATGTGGATATGATCTTACGACTACAGGTCTTCTGACCTTGCAGCACAAAGGTTTCTGTGGTTTAACCTGCAGCACCACCACGTCCCTTTCAAACTACCAAGAGGTGTCATAAATTTTTATAATGCTCTGAGGTCATGGTTTGAATGTTGTACTTTTTGGCCCTGAGCTATCCTCAGCTCTGTTTCCTTTCCTTACTCGGTTTGAATGTTGTACTTTTGGCCCTGATACAGTTTAGGCTTTGTTTTCCTATCCTCAGCTCTGTTTCCTTTCCTTACTCATACATTACTACTTGCTACGTTTATATCCCACATTTCCTCCGATGAGCTTAAAGTGCCATACACAATTCTTCTCCATGGTTTATCTTATAAATTAGATTAGATAATTTACAAGAGTGTAACTGGTCTAAGGTAACCCAGTGAGTTTCATGGCTGAGAGGGGATTTGAGCACAGGTCTTCTGACTTGTAGTTCAACACTCTCGATGCTATACTACACTGGTTCTCAACTTGCTTTGGTTCCTATTTATACAAGAAAGCTACGTTCCTAAGGTAAAACAAGCATAACAGTGCAGTTGGCTGCTATAAACAAATCTAAACAAATGCACTGGGGCTCTCACTTCTTCATCCCTGAACAATCTTAGAAGTTTTGAGCCCCACCCCCACATTTTCCAGCCTTATTGCTGGCACATGGTACCTAAATGTTCTCTGAATGTTTCCACTGTGACACAGAACTCTTCAGCACTGCCCAAATGGGCTCTCCTTGGGTTTATCAACTATCTTCTCTTTTTTTCTACATGTACCAAGGTGACTAAAATGAGCGGCTGTGATAGCACAATAACATCTGGTAAAAACCTCATGAGTAGACCAGAAGTGGTTACTTTTCTATATATTCCCTAAATTTAAATGTGGTACTTAAATAATACAATGTCTTTAATTCTGCAAAGCATTTAAATCATGAGTGGCTACTTGTGGCACTTTTCATGTTTTTCAGCTACAAAACATCTAGGCCGTACAACCAACAGTAAGAGATTGTGGCAGCTGCAGTCCAAAGATCTCTGGAAAGGGCACAGTTACCTGCTCTGATTTAAATCAAACACAAAAATAGATCAAAATGACTGGCTAAAACCACTGCAAAAATCCTGTAAGAAGACCATACCTGATGGTTCAAGAACATTATGCTTTGTGTTTCAACATACATTTATCTATCTGAGCAGGTAATTACATATATCTATTTTAATAATTATGTTAAAATGATACCTTAACATTTAAAAATGCCCCTCTCAGACCAGCTAAAAATAGCTGAGGGTGTTAGTTTTGTAACTGTCAAGCAGACACAAGGGATTAAGTAGACAAAAGCCTAGTAATTCCCATGAAACCCAGAAGCCACAAAATCTCATGGTTGCGAACTTCTCACTTACATACTCATGTACAATGAAGCTAACAAGAGAAAACACATCAGAAGTCATTATTGAATGTGTATGACTAGGCTCACCTCTGTTACTAACTGTAAGTCATTTACATAGTTCTCTTCTGTTACAATGAGTTCATGGATGTATCCCTGCCGTTTTCTTTCAGTAGGTGTCAACATGTCTAGGAGGTGCAGATCCGCACACCCTGGAAAACATAGAGGAGGAAGCAAAATTCACTCTTTCAGATACAAACAAAATATCTCAAAGGACCATGCTTTTTATTTGAACTCTTGAAAGTAGAAAGGTATGAAATTCTGCTTTGTATGAAAAACATCATAAAGCTACTGCATCCAAGCCTTAATCTTCATTGAGAGGAATTGTTTATTTCAGTTCCCTGAGTAGAGGGATCTTTTTGTGTTCCCTTTGCATTTAATTTAGATCATCCTGTCATTAGTCTAAAGTGATACAGGCTTAACCTGGTACTCTGTTTAAGCAAGGGGCTTAACTTGGTACTCTGTTTAAGCAAGGGGCTGATAAATATAGGGGGCAAACTAAACAGCACTTGAAAGACATAGTGAGTACACCTATTTCCCTTTTCTTCTCAAGCACAGCCAACCAAATTTTCGTTGGGACCCCAGAATATAGAATAGCTTGGCCATGGCCTCTTTCCTTCACTGTGGGTCAGTCATATCAGTGTTCCTGTGCCTCCAATTTTTATTGCCAAAAGGAAATTGATTTGTCTCAATATACAATTTCAGCAGTAAAGCTGCAGGTGTGGAGACAATCCTGACTTGGGGCCACAGCAAGTGGCAAAGTGTTAAAGCCACCATACCCCTTATGGTGTGGCCCAGAGCCCACTTTGGGCAAATAGGCAAATGGCCAGAGCCAGACGGGGAAGTGCAACAGATCAGAGGTAAAGCACATACTTTACACACAGTTGTTCCTAACAACTCCGGGTAAGATTGGGGAAGACCATTCTTTTGAACTCTTGAAAGTTGCTACAGTACTTGTAATTGTACATGATTCTGAGTTGGGTGGACCGGGAGTAAAACCTGGCACAAGGTAGCTTTCCATGATCCACATCTGATGATTAACAAAAGAGGTCCCTGGTATTGTGAAAAGTATTCCACCATCCGGTGCTGCCTCCCCTCCTCTTTCCCTTTTGCCCAGATGATAAGGGAGCAACTGTGGCGAGCCTACAACATGAAAACAAGGGACTCTGCTTGTATGTAAATGAAATGAAAATACAAATAAGTTATATCACATCAGACAATTAAGCAGTATGCCTCTCCTGTTCTAGGAGCCTACCAAGCTGCTATACCCAATTATGCCTTTCCCCATTACCTTTTTTGCTATGATTTCTTTAAGACTACCAGCAATCAGTAGTTTTCTTCGTGATGAGAATTACATGTGTACATTTGTAGGGCTTTTAAGACCTGTTGCTGCCTGAAGCAAAGGTCAAAATCATGCCCCTTCATGATCCATGCACAACACTTAACCCCAGACTGGTAGTTCAATCTTATTTCAATGCCAGTGGTGGGAGGGTACCCTCCACTGCATCCAAGTGAAGCAGGCTAGGTTAGGGAGCTCAGTGGAGAGTGGTATCACGCATATGTTTTTTCCTTGCAATACTTGGCAGCACCTTTCTGCTCTCTACCACTGACAGCCTGAGACAGCTGCTTCAGTTTGCCTAACAGCAGACTCTTGACACTTTCACTGTCCACTCCAGGATGATCTTGAACACACACGATTATCATCACATGAATGGCAAACTGAACAGGCTATATTTCTGCCTCAAAACACAGCAGCGGTACTATATCCCTAGCCTGTTATTGTGGGGAGATGAGATGATGAAAAATGCCAAGTGTATGTGAGGTAGGTACAAGACTAGCTCTGTTTCCTGACATGTGGGAACCAGGCCTATAGAGATACCATAGCAGTACTGGCTTGAAAGTGAACTAGTTTCCCCGTCTGTGAGGAACCCATTTCCTCTGTTGCGCTGAAAACAAAATAATCTGATTTAAAACTTTATCTCGTTGCATTCCCAGCCCCGTCTTGCCCCACCTGGAGAATTCCTTTTTTGTTGGCAATTTGGACGTGATGGGCTATAATGGATATGACAAGATTCAAGTGCATAATAGAAAAGCATTTATAAAGTAATTACTTAAGGCTAGATCCAGATTAATATGCAGCCGTTCCTAGCCCCCAGAAAATGCTACATAGTGGTTTGAGGAATCTATTGAATGGGGTGAGCTCTGCTGGCAGGGATCCTCCGAACTCTGGCAGAAACTGCTTTTGTGAGTGGTGTTCTTCAGTCCATGGAAGGCAGATGCTGGTTCCAACCCTTAATGTGCAGCCCAAGAAGTTAGGAGAAGCCTTTCCCTCTACAACTGATTTGTAAACTATTTTTCATGCCAGTGGAACTTCAGTCATGGCCATGGCTGTATACAGAATAGTCACATATATACCATTTTTAGAAACTGAAAAAAAAACTTACTCTACAAAGTGTAAGAACAAAATGAATCTAGACTGACTAAAGCACATGTGGTATATCACAATTCTGGAAGTTACTTATGAGGCAGGTAAACTGAAGAGATTATATATTGTATATGGTACTAAATTCCATGTTTTATTGAACAAGAAAATAACATCCTATTGCCCAGGTAAAATCATCTTAATTGTACAAAATGCTTTATAGTAGGGATGGGTCATCTTCTCTGAGGGGTGGCTGGATGTCAAAGACACGTGAACCCAAAACCAGGTGCATGGCCAATAGGCAAGGATTTTGGAAGTTTAATTTTCAATACTGTAATTGCAAGGCTAAGGGCAGAGAATCACTGCTGTAGCTGCCAGAATGTTAGGGCCTCAAAAGGTAAGCCTTACTGAAAGCCCTGCTAAGCTGGACAAACAGGGCTAGACAAACCTTTTGTTTCCCTGTGGAGAGCTTAAATTCTACCCTTATCTCTCCAGATGTTGAAGATATCCAACTTTCAATATCCTTGCCTACTCGCTATTCCAAACAGCTTATGTGACAAATGCTGAAAACCAGTGAACTCTCAATATATGAGAGTTCAGGCCATCTCCTAGTCTGTCAATTTATCCAGCTGTTCCTGAGGATGTTTTTTTAAGACTAGTTCAGAACAGGACAGGAAATGGAAGTCCAAGTACTTTATTGTCTACTGAAATAGTGCTCCATGAGGAACAGAAAGACTAGTCAAGTGCACACATGTGCAGGGTACAAAGAGTGTACAGAAGGAATCTTGACATGTAGCTTCTACATTCACTCGAGTTTGAATAGATTTATCTTGATCTAGAAAAACAAAGTTTTCATCCTAGAATAAGATGGTGGGACCCACAACTTTTGGAAGAACCATTTAACTCAGTACTGCACCTTTATTCCACAGTGGTTAAGCTGAGAAACATCAAACACACCGATCAGTATTCTTTTGTGGAACTCCACCAGAGCAGGAGAAATGATATCACCAGCAGTGGTAGACTGTTGATGATTAAAGAGTTCCTTTTTTTATTTTGGGGTGTGCATGATTTTATGTCATCACATGGAGCTGAACACTGAAAAAGGAACACTTTAATTAGTGGCAGTCTGTGGTTACTTATGGTACTATTCTTGCTGTGCTGGCAGATGTCTGCAAGCAGACACTGGTGGCTAACACAGATGACAAAGGGGTTTATTTCCACATAATACATTTGAAGTAATTTACTTTCAGGCTTTTAGCAGCCTTGGTTATGGTTTCAGGGCAATTATTCCAGACTGTTGGAAGATGAGGCTTCACTGCTTTCCTAAGGAAAAGGGTCATGTTGGTGTTGGAAAAGATAATATCTTATTTATTTTACTGCCCATCTAGCCCAAGGCCACTCTGGGTGGTTTGCCTGGGCAACTATCCTAGCACTAATCAGATTCAACTGTCCTCAAATTCAGTGAATTTAAGAACTAAATCAGAGATATAAAAGCATCAGTTACAAGGGCTGGTCAAAGGAAACATCCATCATGTGTGAGCAGGACTAGCCCCATAATTAGGAAGATGTGAAGGAGATGCCTCAGATATCAATGCTGAGAGACTGAAACCACCACAAATTTGTTCGGACTCCATTGTGCGTACCCTACACTCTTCAGCCAGCAAACAGCCATTGGCATCTTACAAAATTCATTGCAATTATCAACACATTTCTTTGTTAAACACTGCAGGATCATATGCCTTTTCCCTTCTTGTACATGGCAAACTTAAAAGTTGCTAAATGGCTGCTAGGAAACTGAGTGTTGCTCTGGATCACTATATCATATGCCCTCTGGATATTTTGGGCTACAACCTGTTGCAGTTCCTAATGACTAAGTGGGGCTGATGGGAGTTGTAGTTGATGGCTCAAAGGTACCCACCTCATTTTGGTCTAGGTATAATGACATAAACACCATGGTAGATACAATGTAGGAAGTAAGACGAACATGTAATCTTTCTCAGGTGCAGATGACAATTAGGGTATCTTATAAGGGTGCTTTAATGTATAATCAGGAACATACTATTTGAAAAGGACATCATACTTGGGCACAGTAATGAAAAAGAGACTTAAGTGATCCCATACAGAATCAAATGGATAAAAACCAGGACCTTTATAAGTGATAGAAAATCTGAATTAATAATTTAAAACATGGCATTAAAAGAAACTGAAATGCAAATTGAAAAACAATTGGCTCTCCTTCACTATTTAAAAAGGAGTCTGTGCTGATGACCTTCACGGTGAAACCTGAGGTTTAGGATATTCCCTTGTGGTTAGTGACACTTGCTAATTTCAGTATGTACACAGTAACAACACACAAGACACTTATTCTAGCTTTTATACGAAGAATTTAATCATCTATACATGTAGCTAATTGTAAAAGCTGTATTACAGTTATTAAAGCTGCAGGTTTCATATATTTATATATTTTACATTCATATCAATGAAAATACTGAAGTGCAACTGAATAAGGAGCTTCACTTGTTCTTTGCACCACATGAACAGAGATAAAAGGAATTCTACACCAATACCAGCATGAAATTTAGGAACAGAATACATAAAGAAAAAATTGTTAATGTGATTAGTAGAGATGCTATATTGTGCTTGAGGCATAGGGCTTTTCTTCCTACGTGCTGGCCACACCAGGCATTTAATTAAGATTATAACTAATATCTGAAAGACAAACATAGCTCTAGATTACAGTGCAGCTACATAAAATTTGACTGTAAGCTCCATTTAATGTTACTTGTATAAATTCCACAGTCTAGTTTAAAAAAATGTAAACATTGGAAATTAATTGCAGGAAGATATTTCTATACATTCTTTTGTCAAGATAAGATAATTATCTGCTCAAGGGATGCTGTTCCATAGTCATTAAAGTAACAGTGATAAAACTTTACATAACTTGAAAAAAATACCATGTTAATGCTCAAGAAACAAATGTTGTGTACTTTTAATTTTATATGAAAAAGAAAAAACAAAACAAATCTGAGACATAAGACAAAAAGGTGCTTACTGTATGTAGTTACAAATAAGTGTGCAAAATATATGGTAACAGGAATAACTGTACTATACATGAATGTTCTTGTACATGGAAGGAAATTAAATTCTTCTCCATGGTGTATTTCATACACAAACACAGACGCACACACTCCACCAGAACATCTAACACGTAACAGTACAAGGAACAAAGGAACTTGTAAATGAGCACAATTCAGTTTTCTTTAAGCCATACTAAATCCTTTCTTTTAGCAGTACACAAAAAGAAAAACGACAGACACCAACAACACCAGACAAATGAAAAAGCAAAAATACAAGTCTCAGATTTATTGACATTTGGAACAATTTTAATAGCACATGCAGCATTCCTTGATAGTGGGTCTTTTTGCAATAACAAAATTGCAGTGATGAAATGCTTGTTTTCTTTTAAAAAGCTAAAATAGGCATTTAAAAATATTTCTACTATTGAAAGCACCTGTGCCAAGGTGGAGAAATAAGTAGATAAACTATGAAAGCCACAAAAGGACCCACTATCCTGTGGTGTGGTGTTTTGTTTTATTTTTTTGTCTTTTTTGTAATTTTGCTTCTATATCTGTAGATATTAAATAAAAACATTGTGATCACATGCAACTAATGTAAAATGAGGTAAACTGCTGTGCAGTGTGTTCTTCTACTCAGAAGGCAGTAGATGATCATGCTGGAAGTCACATGATCAAGGCTGCATCTCCCATCATCCCTCTGGACAGTGATATGGGATAGTGGGTCTCTTTGAGGACTTTCAAGCCTGAGAGGGGGATGGACAACATATGATTCCTAGAAAAAGGAGGAAAACAACACATAAGCAAAACAAAACAATGAGCAAAATTCAAGCTAGGAAAATGAGCCAGGCATGTAAACAGCATGGTGCAAAAATGATAAAGGTAACATGCTACAAGGGAAATGGAACTAAAAACCGACACATTTAGGCTTGCAATATAGAAGGTCTTCAAAGAGAGTTATGCAAGTATATAGCTGTGGCCAAGCTCCAAGTTCTACAGAATACAGAAGAATCACAGCAATGCTGCATGTTTCATTTTTTAAAAAAAGTACTACATAAGCATTTCCTGAGAGAAAACAGTCACTTACATTGCTGGCTAGGATCCATATCCGTTGTCAGTTTCACATAGTTTGATGGAAAGAGACCAACTTGCCCATTCACCTCTCCTTTCCACCAGTCAGGGTCTTCTTTATTAAGAACATTAATGATCTGGCCTTTGCTGAAGGCTAGTTCATCATCGTTTTGTGCAATGTAGTCATACATCCCAATTACTTGGCACACTAGAAGACAACACAACATTTTAAATAGGAACATGGAGAAGACTAACCATGAAAAGTCCATTCTTATCAACACCTAAAGAGACAACCAGCATGAATTAACATCTACTGCAGTTCTGGAGAAGCATGGGCCATGTGACTTTTTATTTTTTGTCTAATTAATGATTACACCTTGTGCTCTGCCCCCAGTTCTTCCCTACCAAAGTGAAGAAAAAGAGCAGTGAGTAGTATTATGTCAAGTAAAATTCAATATAAGGTCTGCCATGAACTGGAAAAGGCCAGATGTATCCTTCACAGGATAGACTCTTGAGAGTCCCCCTGGACTGCAAAGAGAACAAACCTATCCATTTTGAAAGAAATCAACCCTGAGTGCTCACTGGAAGGACAGATCTTGAAGCTGAGGTTCCAATACTTTGGACATCTCATGAGAAGAGAAGACTCCCTGGAAAAAACCCTGATGTTGGGAAAGTGTGAAGGCAAGAGCAGAAGGGGACTACAGAGAACGAGATGGTTGGACAATGTCACTGAAGCTACCAACATGAATTTGACTAAGCTCTGGGAGGCAGTGGAAGACAGGAGGGCCTGGTGTGCTCTGGTCCATGGGGTCACAACGAGTCGGACATGACTTAACAACTAAACAACAACAACAATCCTTCACAGAGAAGAATGTACTTTCACACTCAAGTCCTTCCAACATTCCAGTCTCCGGCTGCGGTGAAGGAGATGTACCCTAGTCTGCATTAGAGGATACATGGTGGATTTAAAGAGGCAGAATACGTTGCAGTATTCTACACACAACAGCAGTGTGGAGATCCTGGAGTAGAGTGCCTTTCTGTAGATTGGCTTGCACTGTTCACCAGAGAAAGGAGTGATTTTCCCCCTGGGAAACACCAGAGGCAAGTGTCTGTGAACTGAAATGTCTGAAGTGAGGGAAAAAACTATTGAAGTGGGTGTGAGTGAAAATGCTCCTGTGGGACTACTTCAAGACAAGATAATCTCACAAGGTGAGCAAGGAGCATGAGGTATTCAAATTTTTGCTTTCCAGTATCTGGTATCTGATTATTATTATTTTTTAGTTATTTTGAGAGAGCAATGGGGAAAAAAACATGTCTCATGTATCAAACAATGCCATGAGGTGAAGGACACATGACAGGGTATGACAATTTGATGTATGACTGATAAAGAACCTATGACTGAAGAAAGGGGAGAGATCAGTGGTCCCTGTGAGTTCCAAAGAGGGTGAGTGACAGCAGAAACACATTGTTGAGGCACAGTAAAGATTAATGCCCTGGAGCTGAAAATGTACAACAGAAGAGAC